CCCCCTGAGTTTGTTCCCCCCTTACAACATGAATTCTATCAGCTCATACACTATGTGTGCCTCACACACCCCGTGTAACCCTAGACTCGTCTAGGCCCTTTGAGCGGTTCGCCTGTTATTTGAAGGCTCCCCCTCAGATACACTTCACACCAGCCACTTTCATCTCTCTAAATAGCTTTTCGGCTTCATCCAGTAAACCTTTTCTACAAAGTCCAGAAATCATTGCAGTATATGTTTTCACATTCGGTTCCACCCCTCTATCAAAAAGCCCATTAAACAATCGCAATGCATCCTCAACCTTGTCATCCATACACAAGCCATGAATGATTATAGTATGTGCGATTATATCGAGGTTCATCCCACTCTTTTCCATCTTGTTGTATAAACACAATGCCTCTTCTAGCTTTCCATTCTTACATAGCCCATCAAGCAGGACATTGAAAGTTACAAGGTTAGGATATTGACCCTGACACTGCATCTCTAGGAAAAGCTTTTGCGCAACAGCAAGATTGTCTGCTCGACAAAACCCTTGGATGAGAGAAGTATAAGTAGGTGTATCAGCAACAACTCCTCTTCGAAACATCTCACTAAAGAGTTTCAAACCCTGGTCAACCCTGCCAGACTTGCAGTATCCATTTATGAGAGCGCTAAAAGTCACTACATCCGGAGGACAACCCTTGGTAGCCATAGAATCAAACATTTTTTTCGCCTCATCAAGACGATTCTGCATGCAAAGTCCAACAATCAACGAAGTATAAGTGAAAGTACTCGGAACCAAACCTCTCTGGACCATCTGCTCGTAAAGCTCTCTGGCTTCTAGAAACTTCCCCTCTTTGACAAAATTATCGATTAATCCATTGAAACTGACAACATTAGGAGTGATATTCCTTTTGATCATATCATTCAATAATCGTGCGACATCAGTCCATCTACTATAACAACCAAGACCGTTTATCAAAGTGTTGTAGGTAACAACATCTGGCTCAACTCCTCGATCATCCATCTTTTTGAAAAGGTTAAGCGCATCATCTACACGTCCATCTTTGCAAAGACAATCTATAATCGTATTATAAACTACGACGTTGACCTCAACATGCCTTTCCTCCATCTTGATGAGCAAATTTAAAGCTAGAGCGGAATCTCCTGACTTGCAAATGCCATTCACAATAGCACCATAAGTGATTACATTGGGCTGATGGCCTTTCTTTGGCATCTGATCAACTAAAACGACGGCCTCGTGGATTCTACCTTGGAGACATAGTCCGTTGACAACGGTGGTACATGTTACGACATCAGGAGTGTATCCATCCTTTACCATTCGTTCGACCAAGTTTAATGCCGCGGAAAGCTTACCCTCTATACATAATCCATTGATGAGAGTGTTAAATGTGATTACGTTTGGCTCATAACCAATTTTCATGATCTTCCCCAAAACAGAAAATCCCAAACCCACTTGACGTGAGCGGCAGAAACAGTTGATAAGAATATTCAGAGTGTAGTTGTCATGTGAAACCCCGTGTAATTCCATCCTCTTGCAAAGAGAAATCACGATATCATACCGTTTCATCTTGGCAATTGCACTTAGTAATTTACTGAAATCAACAAAAGTATCACTAAACCGGTCGGATGAGTTGGCTAGAATGCGGTTAGAATTGAGCATCTGCTAGTTAGAATTCGGATTCCACACCGTTAAGTGCTGAACCTAAGACGACGGCAGAAACAAGAGGAGAGATGAGAGTGAACAAAACCTGAAGTAGAAGCAGAAGCCATTCTCCGAAGCATCGCCGACATCTGAGTTTCAGCACGAAGACAGATTGAGAATCAGAAGAACTCTGGGAGATTTGCGATTCTGGTTTGTCGGGAACTGCGGAAAACAACCCTAAGCTCAAATGGCCCAAACCCCAAATGAAAAGCCCAACGACAAGTCTCTTTTTGAAGCTCCAAACAAACAATAGTCGAAACCTATATCTAATGGTATATTATTTTATCACCTATCGTATTCTTTACGTATGATACACCGTATCAATTATTTCGATGTTTTTCACCTTTAATTAGTAAATATATCTTACCCAGATTTTGGACCGTGGATCTATTGGATCATATAAAAACCAATATTTATCAACGGGGGATTCTAATTCCCAGATTTTTCAAATATCTTCTGTAACTCAAATACTTTCTTTCGTTGGGATTTGGATTTGATGGTACAAATATATTCTGTACTTGGGTATGGTTAGAAAACAACACAAGGGGACATTCAAAGTGATAAGCTCATCCATCCCATGATTCGGCATACAACAAACAGAATCCTCAAGGAACATCTCTAAAACCAACCATAACTAATTAGATCTCTCTTCATAAAGTGCGGTCACGAACGAAACCCCGATCCTTTCTTGGTTACAAACCCACATCTCAATCTCCGACGACATGAAACAGAGGAACAACGTAAGACATCGTTCAGAGTGCCTCTAGAGAGCATCCCTTGATAGCCGTAGAACCAAATATTTGATCCTATTTGTATCGTTTGCTCCTAATCTTCTTTAGCTTCTAAAAACTTCCCATCTTTAATAAAATCATCAATTACTCTCCTTTTGATCATATCACTCACTAACCCTTTATCAAAGTGTTGCGGGTAAAAACATCTGGTGGCGCAACTCCTCGATCATCCATCTTACTAACTGCATCAGCCTTTTCAAAGGAAATCGATAATCGTACTATACATTACAACATGCCTTTCTCCATCTAGATGAGCAAATTTAAAGCTAAATCAAAGTCCCCTAGTTCGCAAATGCCCTTCACAATAGCATCCGATCAACTAAAGCGATTGCCACATGAATTCTATCTTTTACCATTCCGTCAACGAAGATTGATGCGGTGGAAAGCTTACCTTCCACACAGATTCCGCTGATGAATGTGATTACATTCACAATTTCAGGATCGTAACCGAGTTTGATGATTTTCCCCAAAACCAGTTCTTGACCTCAGCGGCAGAAACAACTTATCACGATTTCGTACAGTTTCATTTTGAACGATTGCACTCAGTGACTCACTGAAATCAACAACGCAAGGCATCTGATTGAACAAATTACTGACTGCAATCGTCAAAATGGAACGGTACGAGACCACCGAACCATCTGATTGGATGAACCGACACTATGACCAAACCCGCATCTCAATCTCTCCCAGTAAGAGAGAGAACTGCTGGATCTGAAAACGACGACAGAGAAAAGTGGAGAACAAAATCTGAGGCGGAATGATTCTGATCTGCAACTTCCATCATTAAACAAAAGCTCCGACTTAACTGCGAAAATGAAACCCTAACCCCCAATTGGATTTAAACCGAACTCTGGAGGATTTGCAAATGGCCCAAAGCCCAATTGGATGATGGCCCATAGCCCACACTCGATTATCCTACTCAATAGTTGTAAACATTTCTCGGATCAATAAAAAAAAATCTCTCTTGTACCTCTTTCAAATAATCTTTGAAAGCAAAATCTAATAGTATATTATTATATGAAAAATCTCAAAAAAATCATCAATTTAAAAAAAAATATATATATAAAAAATATTGATTTATATTTCAAATACTTCGATACAAACTTCAACATCAACATCTTCTTCGTCTCAAATTTACTTGAAATCGTTGGTATGATTTTTTTTTACTTATTTTGAATTTGAGCTAAACCTTTCAAAATTTACAACATATCAAATATGTCAATAAGTTAGAAAAATATAATTAACGTATGAGTGATAATCTACTCGACGTAAATCTCATATGATAGTTTGTAACACGAATCCTAAAATTTGATGAGGTCGACAATGATGCCCAACATATGAATTAGTGTGCCTTGATGCAATCAAGCTATGTGCACTAACCACACAATTATAAAAAGGCACGATTAGATACATTATGAACTATGTGATAGGGTAAGAGAACGATCAAGACGGGATTTGTCTCCCTCGTGTTAGGGAAAAGTATCACTAAACCGGTCGGATGAGTTGGCTAGAATGCGGTTAGAATTGAGCATCTGCTAGTTAGAATTCGGATTCCACACCGTTAAGAATGTAGTTCCATGTTATAGGTTTGTAAAATCTGTTCTGTTATTTTTTTTTTACATGAAACCTTAAAAGTAAAACCCCAACATATATCCTACAAAAAAGTAAAACCCCCTCGTGTTATTTTTTTCTTACGTAATACGATTGAAAATGTGTAAATATACGCTCTGCTTTCTCTTGTGATGCCCGTGTAAACTTTGTATAATCATCTTGTAGTTACTAATGTGGTAAATTCAATTTTTGAATAACTACAAAATACTGGATTGTTTGAAGTTTACAACCGTACGAGTAAACCGTATTCTGATATCTAATGAGGTAAAAGGTTACACATACCTTCATTCAACCATTATGATTTTTTTTTCAAGAATTTTATCTATTTATTAACACGTATTTTTCACAATTCTATACATCAATTTTCAGAAGGTAAAATTACGAATTTTAATGGCGAAAACTACCATAATATTTTTTCAAAAAATCTATCCACCTGTGGAGAATTAAACATTGTAGGACCCGTGATATCTCCTTGCCAAATAGAAGAAGGATTATCGGATCCACCTCTTATTACAGAAACCAACGTACCATTATGAAATAGGATTAGCAACGAGAAGGATCCAACCATCTGGTAAGTCCCCAATTCACTTTCACTTGCAGGATTTTCCATCGTCCCTAAAGAACACAACCATCCACAGGAAAAACAAAACAAAAAAGCAGATAACAACGAACTCCTTGAACCCAAACTGACATAAACATGCCAATTACAGGAAAGAAAGACCCACCTGTTATCCAAATGACCGCAGCAGTCAGAGACCAAGATCCTACTGCGAAGACCAAACAACTATGGACGAGAATCCATAAACTTCTTATCCAATCTTCCATCGCATATCATATCTACAATAATCTCTGTGGTCGATGCATCCGCAGAGAACCCACAGCTACGCATTTCACGTACAAGCTCGATACCCTTAGATGTATATCCATTCCTGAGATGACCCTGAATCAACGCATTGTATGTGCGATCATTTGGCAAACAACCAGCCACTTTCATATCTCTAAATAGCTTTTCGGCTTCATCCAGTAAACCTTTTCTACAAAGTCCCGAAATCATTGCAGTGTATGTTTTCACATTTGGTTCCACTTCTCTATCCAAAAGCCCATTAAACAATCGCGACGCGTCCTCAACCTTGTCATCCACACACAAGCCATGAATGATTATAGTATGTGCGATTATATCGAGGTTCATCCCACTCTTTTCCATCTTGTTGTATAAACAAAATGCCTCTTCTAGCTTTCCATTCTTGCATAGCCCATCAAGCAGGACACTGAAAGTTACAAGATTAGGATATTGACCTTGACACTGCATCTCTAGGAAAAGTTTTCGGGCAGCATCAAGATTGCCTGCTTGAAAAAACCCTTGGATGAGAGAAGTATAAGTACATGTATCAGCAACAACTCCTCTTCGAAACATCTCACTAAAGAGTTTCATACCCTGGTCAACCCTACCAGACTTGCAGTATCCATTTATGAGAGCGTTAAAAGTCACTACATCTGGAGGACAACCCTTGGTAGCCATAGAATCAAACATTTTTTTCGCCTCATCAAGGCGATTCTGCATACAAAGTCCATCAATCAACGAATTATAAGTGAAAGTACTCGGAACCAAACCTCTCTGGACCATCTGCTCGTAAAGTTCTCTGGCTTCTAGAAACTTCCCCTCTTTGACAAAATTATCAATTAATCCGGTGAAAGTGACAACATCAGGAGTGATATTCCTTTTGATCATATCATTCAATAATCGTGCGACATCAGTCCATCTACTATAACAACCAAGACCGTTTATCAAAGTGTTGTAGGTAACAACATCTGGCGCAACTCCTTGGTCATCCATCTTTTTTAAAAGGTTAATCGCATCATCTACACGCCCACCTTTGCAAAGACAATCTATAATCGTATTATAAACTATGACATTGACCTCAACATGCCTTTCCTCCATCTTGGGCCATTCACAATAGCACCATAAGTGATTACATTGGGTATATGGCCTTTCTTTGGCATCTGATCAACTAAAACGACGGCCTCATGGATTCTACCTTGGAGACAAAGTCCGTTGACAATGGTGGTACATGTCACGACATCAGGAGTGTATCCATCCTTTACCATTCGTTCGACCAAGCTTAATGCCGCGGAAAGCTTACCCTCTATACATAATCCATTGATGAGAGTGGTGAACGTGATTACGTTTGGCTCGTAACCCAATTTTATGATCTTCCCCAAAACAGAAAATCCCAAATCCACTTGACGTGAGCGGCAGAAACAGTTGATAAGAATACTCAGAGTGTAGTTGTTGTGTGAAATCCCGTGCAATTCCATCCTCTTGCAAAGAGAAATCACGATACCATACCGTTTCATCTTGGCAACTGCACTTAGTAATTTACTGAAATCAACGATGGAAGGGAGGGGACGAGATCGAACCATCTGGTCGAATACATCAACAGCATCTTTCACATTACTATTACCAAACCCAGACCTCAATCTCTCCCTATAAGAGACAGACCTGCTAACCCAAAGACGACGGCAGAGACAAGAGGAGAGATGAGAGTGAACAAAACCTGAAGTAGAAGCAGAAGCCATTCTCCGAAGCATCGCCGACATCTGAGTTTCAGCACGAAGACAGATTGAGAATCAGAACTCTGGGAGATTTGCGATTCTGATTTGTCGTGAACTGCGGAAAACAACCCTAAGCTCAAATGGCCCAAACCCCGAATGAAAAGCCCAACGACAAGTCTCTTTTTGAAGCTCCAACCAAACAAACAATAGTCGACAACATCATGGGACATCACTATGACCAAACCCCCATCTCAATCTCTACCAGTAAGAGAGAGAACTGCTGGATCTGAAAACGACGACAGAAAAAAAGCGGAGAACAAAATCTGAGGCAGAACGATTCTGATCTGCGACTTCCAGTCTTCCAATTGGATGATGGCCCATAGCCCACACTCGATTATCCTAAATAGTTGTAAACATTTCTCGGATCAATAAAAAAAAAATCTCTCCTGTACCTCTTTCCAATAATCATTGAAAGCAAAATCTAATAGTATATTATATGAAGAATCTCAAAAAAATACACAATTTTTTTTTTTGAAAATATAAAAAAAAACGCAGATTTATATTTCAAATATTTCGATACAAACTTCAACATCAACATCTTCTTCCTCTCAAATTTATTTGAAATCGTTGGTATGATTTTTTTTTTGTTTTTACTTATTTTGAATTTGAGTTAAATCTTTCAAAATTTACAACATATCAAATATGTTAGAAAAATATATGCAACAGAGCTTGCGATTCTGCCTCTGCTGTAAGCCCTGCAATCAGAATCTCAACATCCAGCAGCAGAGCAGATGAGGATGAGGACATCAATGAAGGAGATATCCGCAACACGTTATCGGTATCAAACACAGCAACCTTTGTTCCTCGGTTTTCAGCAGGCATAAAAGATCACGACAACGAGAGTATCTTGAAATGATCCTGAGAGAAGAAACGAAATAACTGAAACTACACGAGAAAATCACTGTAAACCAAGAAAAGTGTCTGCGTATGATTCAAGACGCACCCGCAAAGTGTTGATAGAAAAGAAATAGAAGAATCCTGCTGTTGACACCGGAAGCAGTTGTTCTAGGAGATGCAATAACTATCCTTTGCATGTCTTGCCACAATATAACATTTCATAAAAAAAAAAAAATCATTCACAAAGATGGGGCAACTTGATTCATGTAAATTATTAAAAGTGTGAAGAAAGAGCGCTTTATTCTTGATCTCAAGAGCAAGACTCCCATCATATCTAGTGAACGATGATCTGATGCATTACTTGCCAGATTAACCGACGAGATGATGTAGACAGAACAACCTAAACAATAAACGAGGACGAGAGTTTGAAGTGTTTCAGAATACGCGGCCAGATACCAACGACTTGCATCTGAATAACACTGCGGGAACAATCATAAAATGCTGCAAGTAAAACAACATGTGGATATATGTTAGGGACCTTGGCCACTGCTGCATGTTGTCACATCCCTGTCATGACGCAAACGGGGAACGGATTGATCGTTCGTGAAGCCTCCTTTCGCGTACTTTCTTCAATTCTTGTTTTGCCTTCACGATGAGGTCTCTCATGGAGATGTTCTTGGATATGGGTTTTGCCTCTAAGCTCGGATTCGTTTCTTTAGTCGTCGAATCCGACACTTTTGATACCTAAAAAGCGTACGTATAAAAATAACATAAAAATGAGTCTGAAATTTAATTGTATAGATATATAATGAATGGCAAAATTATTTTGGTTACTTACATTATTATTATTATCGTTGCTTTTGGAAAATGATTCTGCATGGCCATAGGTTTCCTTTTTTCCAATATCCGAAGAGCTCTTGGTCTGAAAATTTAAGTAGAAAAAAATTGTTAGGAAAAACATTCAAATTATGGAAGAATATTCTAAAATATTATGTATAAAATCAATTTTTTACATTTATATTAATTAACCAAAATATTAGTATAATTATTAATAATAATAACCTTCAATAAAAAAATAAATGAAGAAAATCCATAAAAAAATCTAAGAATCTTTGCGGATCGGAAAAAAGAAAATTAAAAAAAAAACAGATTAAGAAAATCCATAAAAAAAAAAATCGAAAGGAGACGTACCTTGCTTGTGTCCGGTCTCTTCTTCGGCGGGGCTCCGCCGGCAGCCTCGGGTCCCCCCCCGGT